TCTCTTTTTCATTAATGAGACACCAAGTGTTACGTGAAAAATTAATAAAAAAATTATATAAACGGCAAGATAAAATACATAAATACATAAATAAATAAATAAAACTAGATGAATTTTTGACAATGAATATGAAGAATTGGTCATTCTCCTTTGGCTAAAAGGTCATCGATCTTTCCACTTGGAATTCCAGAATGAATTTACAAAAAAAAAAAAAAAAAAATCTTTTTCAATTGTAGATTTCTTTTTACCGAGACCATTTTTTATTTTATTATCATTATTATTATTATTATTATTATTATTATTATTATTATTATTATTATTATTATTATTATTTTAATGAACGAAAAATTAAAAATAATAAAATAATAATAAAAAAAGAAAAAAAAAAGTTTACGCAAATAAAAATTTTAGGAGTCATCTCTCGCGTAGCCTTTCATGACTTCTTTTTTTTTTTTTTACCTTTAACCCCCCCATCCCGTCCCCCGCTTCGTTTCCCTCTCTAATTTTTTTTTATGTACTTTTAATTTAACCGAAAACAACATTAATATTATTCAGGTTTCGGAAAAACATTTATTAAGAAAGAGAGAGAGAAAGAGAGAGAAAAATGTTTTCACCCGAATGACATTCAGCACTGGAGAAGAAAAACTGGAAAAACATCTTTTTAAATGTACGAAATTTGTTTTTCCTTTAACGGTATCATTTACGCAACGTAATAATTTTAAGTAAATTACTTAAACTATATTTGGAAAAGAATGATAATAATAATAATAATAATAATAGCAAAGTGACAACGCACCCATGAAAGCGACAAATAATAATTCAATTTAAAAGTTATTAAACCCCGAAAATTTCTTTTGAAATAAATTTTTAAGAGACACCCCACCGAAGAACCTGATTAATTTTCTCGTTCCTAAAAAACCTTTCGATGAAGAGGAGAGGGAAGGGGAGGAAGGGTAAAGAAAAAAAACGAACCGGACGCTTGATTAATTTAAAAGATAATAATTACATTTAATTACTCAATAATTTCTGTCGTAGCCAATTAAATTACTCAAATAATAATAAAAAAGAGTGACGAAATCCCTGGAATTAATATTTTTTTAATTAAATGACGTCATATTAATTATAGAATTAAATAAAATATTATAGCAGTGGAAAAAAAAAAAAACATTTTTCATTTTTTTTTTTAATATTAACTCCGCAAAAATTGAGAGAGAGAGAGAGAAAAAAAGCCTTTCATGAGTTCTTTTTTTTTTTTTTGTTAATTTGCGCATGTTCTTCGCCATTTGGATTAGGTTGTTCACCTTTAATTTGCGGCGTCCTTGCCAAGGTGAATTCATACCCTTTTTAAGTAATTTTATAGGCTCCCCGCTTAATGCAAACATTTTAATTGCATACGAAAAACAAATTGCTACAACAAGATTATCTATCTATCGCTTTAAAAAAAAAAAAAAAAAAATGAAATTCCTCCTGACATTGAATGTTCGTTCCTTCCTTCTTTTTTTTTTTTACTTTACTTTAATCTCTTTCGAGTTGCGTCTATGTGTTAAAAATTTAGTTACGGACATAACAAACCACTAATTTCCAAAAAAAAAAAAAAATTCGCTTATGCCTTCGTATCATGATAATAATAATACATTAAATGACCGCGTAAACGATCGTTTCCCCCCTTTCCCTTTCCCATTACCCTCCGCCGCCCCCCACATTAATATCAAGCTGATTTTAGTTTACTTGAAAAATCACCTGTTGGCATGTTTCGGACAAATAAACTTTTCCACTAATGGAAGAAGAATAATGGCTCCGACATTTTGCAAAACAAATAATGTAAAAATCATTTGAGGGAAATAAAAAAAAAAGTCAAATTGTTAAACATTTAAAAGAATCGCGAGATGCAATTTTTTATTTTGCTAATTTTTTTTTTGCCACCCTTAAAGGGAAGGGAGGAAAGTAGGGAGGGGAGAGGAAAAAATCCCGATGAGGTATTTATTGGAGAAACTCATTTTTTTCATTTTCACGAGTCTTGCCAACTCTTCCGAAACTCGTAAAATACGTTATTTATAAATAAGTTATTTATAAATATTTTTAAAATAAGTTATTTTATTTATTAATACTTTTTTGTAAGACAGAATTTTTTTTTTTTTTCGAAACGTAAATCACTTAACCTGGTATTAATACAAAAGAGAGAGAGAGAGAGAGAGAGAGAGAGAGAGTGAGATAGAAAATCCAAACCTTTTTTTTTTTCTTTTAAATCTAATAAAACCCTCGTAAATTGGATATGAAACCTTTAGGCGGGATATTATAAGTAAATTTCAGGTGAGACGATGATATTTAAACGTCATTAAAATCTCTATTTATCCCTCTACTTTTTTTTTCACAACGTTTTTTTTTGTTCTTAAAACAGAGAGAGAGAGAGAGAGAGAAAATTGCGCGTATTTTATAAATACGATTATAAATCATATTTTAAAAAATTTTAAAAGTGTATCATACGAAACAATAAAGGTGTTAACTCAAAATGAAAAAAAAAAAATTTAAATAAACCTGAAACCTGTAGAATTTCGTTTTAAAAAAAAAAAAAAAAAGGTAAACGCCTTTTACCCCCCCGAATTTTTTTTCCATTAATGAATCTTCCGAATCAATTTAAAATATCAAAAAAAACTACAATTATCATCATCATCATCATCATCGTATCTATTATGACTAATATTAATAAATAGAGGAGGAGTAAACCAAAAAAAAATTTAAAATCAAAAAGTGCGATGACGTGACGCCGCCCCGCCAATGCCTCGTAACGAAAATTCAAATAAAATAAAATAAAAAGGAAAGAATAAAATAAAAAAAAAAAAAGGCCTTCTCTCCAACACCACAATGCTACGCGAACACACGTTGGCAAAGCAAAACGTAAAATATAAAATAATAATAATAATAATGATGATAAAAACGCCTGGAGAAAAGTGTTGTCGGAGTAATTATAACTTGCAATCGACCCGGCCAACTCGTACGTACCTTACAAACGACGCAATTTTTTTTATTTTTTTTTTCCATTTTATTTTATTTTATTCTTATTTTTGTTTTACAATAAATAAATAATAATAATGATAAATAACAATCAAATATTATATTCACTTTCGATTTTCGATCGAAACGAACAAGAGAAGCAGAAGACGAGAAAAAAATTACGGCTCACATCATTACGTAATAATAATCTCGTGTACGTTCATGGAATTTTTTTTTATTAAATTTATGGAGGAGAAAAAAAAAATGAGAGGAAATCGCACAATTTCATCATCAGGTATCGATTGATATAAATCGATTCGATATATTTTTTTTAAATTTACGATATAAATAAAAATATACGAATTGAAAAAAACTCGAAATCGAAATCGAAATGGGAGAAAAAAAAAAAATTGAAATTCCAAAAGAAATTAATTTCTTTGTTTTTTTTTCATTCGCTCACCGGCAAAACAACAAAACCTCCGGATAAAAAAAAAAAAAATGAAAACTTTGACCAACAAGGTCGGATTTAATTCATAATGCACTTTTTTATACCTTTTTTCTACTTTTTTTTTTTTTTTTTTAAACGGTCAAGGCTTCGGGCATGAACCTGACACGAGTACTTTTTTTAACACGAGATTTATATTTTATTTTTTATTTCCTTTCTCGCAAAAAAAAAGTTTCCAGAATTTTTCTTTCGTTAAGATTAAACAAAAAAACTTTTTCAACTTTTTTTTACTACGATAATTTAGTCAGTTAAAAGTTTTTTCTTTTTTTTTTTTTTACCGAAATAAAATCTCCTATCGAATCATTAAAAACTCACATAAAAAAGAAATCATCATCATTATCATTATCAACATTATTTTATTATTATTATTATTATTATTTTTATAATTCGCAATAAAAATAAAACAAAAAAACTCGAATCATTCCGAAATAATTTTTTTTTTTTTTTTTTATAAACGACATTTAATGACGTCATAAAATTATACAATTTAACGGCTGTTACGAATAATAATAATAATAATAAGTACAATTAAACCCCTCTTTCCCTCCCCCCCCCCGCAAAAAACAAAAAACAAAAAGAAAAAAATTTCATCGTTTTTTTTTTTAATTTTGCGGTAAAATAATAAAAATACTCTCGTCGCGAATTTGATTTGACGATGCGTCCGTCCGTCACGTTTTGTCACGCTGACACATTTCATTATTATTATCATTATCATCATCATTATTTCTTAAAAAAAAAAAAAAAATGCGACGTAAACGACGACGATTCCCGCCAAAAAAAAAGTGTAATTTTAACGACACACGTTCATTTCGTTCGTTCTTTCGTTCACATTACGTGAAAACGTGCAAATCAAAGAAAAAAAAAAAATAATAATAATGATAATAATGATAATGGAAAATTTTTTCAAGTTGAAAAAATGAAAAAATAATTAAAAAAAAAAAAAAAACCCGTTAACAACAAATAACAATAATAATAATAATAATAATAATAATTAATTTGAAATCAGGGGAAATACGTCATCATTTTCAAAAAGTCATCATTAATGAAAAAATGATAGGAAAAACAAAAAATAAATAAAAAATAAATTAAATAATTTTGATTTACGTCTCTAATGATTGATTCTCTCTCTATCTCTCTCTCTCTCTTTCTTTCTCTCCATCTCTCTTCCTTTCTTTCTCTCTCTCTCTCTCTCTCTACCTCCTCATCTTTCTCCTACCATTATATTTATAGTGCAAAGATGTCGCATTAATCATCACGAATTATTTAAATAATTAATCAATGTCAACAGTAGGGCAATGGCAAATGAAATAACTATAATTTTTTTTTTACATCTCGACGTCGTCGACGACGACGACGACGATGATGATGATGATGATAAAAATAATTAATTATGCGTTTTTACCGAATGAATTCCGGTAAAATTTATTTATAAAAAAATTTCTCGTAACCTTTTCAGTCACCTCTTTCTTTTTTCTTCTACTCATCTCGTGCCGTTTTTTTTTTTTTTTTTTTTTTTTTTTTAATTAACTTTTGCCAAAAGACAAAACGTGATTGATTGATTGATTGATTGACTGATTGATAATCCATTGATTAACCATCAAACGAGATTTTAATTGATTTGAAATACTTGGCTACCGATCGACCGACTGCTGCTTCTTCATCATCATCTTCTGCTTACCAACCAACTTGCATTTTTACGCTTGACCTTTATTTCTTTTATTATTATTATTATTATTGGAATCTTTTCTAAATTTTTTATTCTTTTCTTTTACAAGAGCCAAACAGAGCACCATGTGATAGCGTAATTTTTTTCTTTACCATCTAATATTCGAAATTACTTTCGGCTATAGACGCGCATAATAAAATGTCCAGCGTGCGTGCGTTAAATGTGCGTGTAAATGTGCGTACGTTAAATCTTAAACAATTATGTAGCATTTAAAAAAAAAAAAAAAATTTTTTTTTTTCATATTTAAAAACGGTAATTTTTATGTAATCATCTTTCTCCTTAAAAAGGAAAATAATTGGCAGTAAATATAATGATAAACATAGCTATTAATATTATTATTATTATTTTTTTTTTTTTTTAAACCTAGACTTCGCCAACAACAACATTTTTTTCTTTTTTTTTTTTTAAATTTTCTTATAATGCGATTTAAAATAATATTTTATAAAATTTTACAACGGATTTGTTTTTTTTTTTTTTTTTGCGCGCGCGTAATAAAATTAAATAAAAATATTTTTATTGTAAAGCGTACGCGTTTATTATCAAGAGCAAAATTTTTTTTTTATTTTTTTATAAAAGACCGACCATTCTTCGAGATCAAAGTCTAGAACGACTAGAGAGAGATAGAGAGAGAGGGAAAATTAATAATAAAATCATTTTACGATAGGGAAAAAATTATAAAAATAAAGTTGTTTAAAAGTAAAAAAAAAAAAAAAATTTACGGCGACCAAACACATTTTATAAATTAAAAAAAAAGAAAAAAAAGATTCTACGAGATCATTAAATCAATAATAGTAAACACTTAAAAACGTCGTCGTCGTCGTCGTCGACGTCATCGTCGTCGTCTCGACAATTCCTTGAAAACCTTAGTAATAAATAATAATCTCAATTTCGAAAAAGATGATATAAATTTAATTATTACGTAATAAAAAAATTTCACTATTACGTCATTAATCCACAATAAAAAATAATAATAATTTAAATTTAAATTTCTATAAAAAGGTATATTATTATTATTATTACTTTAAATCATACTTTGATGATCACTTCCGTTTCCGGACATTCCTGCTAATAGTGGTGTTGTCCAGAACGAACGATCGAAAATCACGATAATGATTAATAATAATAATAATAATATGAATAATACTGATAATTAACGTGATGACCAATTTCGAATCGTGGATTTCGGGGAGGAAGAAGTGAGAGGGAGGGAGAGAGGGAGGGGGAATAAAAACGCACGAACGGATCACACCTTCCCGTGAAAATAAACATTCACGTTGCCATAATGTATTATCATGTTATGAAAAAAACGACTTTCGTTCGGTTAAAAAATTTTACGAAATATTTTTTTTTTTTCCATTGCGGTTTGAGAGAGAGAGAAAATAAGAGAAAAGAATTGATGGCAAACTAAAATTTTCGACCACAATAACAACGCACACGCGCACACACACACACACACACAATTACATCAATTCGTAATTTTTCGTACTGACGCTCCGAAAAAAAAAAAAAGAAAAAAAACCGGAATAAAAAATAGTTTTTTGAAATTACGAGAAAGGCCTTAGAAAAGAAAATTGATTATAAAAATAATTCAAGTTTAAAAATTTTGACGTCCGCCTCCTCCTCCTCCTCCTCCCCCCTTCCTACTACTACTACTACTATTATTATTATTATTATAAAATTATAAACAAAACTTAAAATTATTATTTTAAATATATAAAAAATTTTCAATATTCAATTTCAATGTTAGCCAATGGGATATGCAGATTTTTACTCGGAGGAAGAAAAGAGAAAAAAAACATTAAAACTTTTTTTTTTTTTTTTTTTTTGTTAATCTCACGGGTCTTATTATTCAATGGTCGGTTATACCACCACAATTTAAAAAAAAAAAAAAAAAAAAAAAAAAAAACGTGACGGAAGAAATTGAGAAATCCTGTTTTTTTCTCATACGTCGGGCCCAAACCTCACAGAGATTTACTTAGTTAAAAAAAAATTATTATTTCATTATTATTATTATTATTATTTTTATATTTCTTTTCCCCCTCCCCCCCCCCTCCCTCTCCTCCCATCCCTCCCATTTCTTTTTGAAGAACGAAAATTTGCCCGACGAATGTTCTTGTTGCAAACCCGATATCAAATTAATGGAGTATTAGACAAGCAAAACGAGTTTTTTTTTTTTTTTTTTTTTTTTCTGAAACTCCGACAAATGTCTGGGGCCAATTTGGCGCCGCGTTAATGAGTACGTAAAATAATGTACCATGAAGTATGAACCCGGTATTTATTTTTTTTTTACCTTTTTCAAAAAAGTCTAAGAGAAGGCGGCAGAATATATGTTGCGGAAAATAAAATAAAAAAATTTTTGTTTTCCTATCCTTCATCTCTCAACTACGACTCAACAATTTTTTTTTTTTTTTTTTTCTAGAATTTTTAAAAACTTCCGGTCAAACGATATCGTATCGATTATGAACGATTTCGAATCGATTAATAAAATATTTAATTAAATCAAGGCTAACAAAAAAAAAAAAAAAAAAATTAATTCTCGACCTTTTTTGTACAAGTTTCTCACATAAAAAAGAAAAATGGCGTTGAATTATCGTTTACTCATAATTATTTATTAAAAATAAAAATAGAAACGAGTCATAAATAGTTTTCGAAAGATAGAGAAAAACATTTAAAAAAAAGTGCAGGTACCCACACCGAACCGAGGGAAACCAATGAAAAAAAAAAAAAAAAAAAAAATTAAAAATCGAAAACGATCACGTAAAGAATTTTTTTAATCAAAATGCGTATGGAATGAAACATTTATTAATGTTATAAAACGTAAATCTTGTATGACGGCATTGCGTAACCATAATAAATTTCATAATTCCAAAAAAAAGGAGGAGGGCACCAAAAGATTTAGCCTCCCAAAATTAAAAAAAAAACAATTTTAAATTTTAAATTATATATAAAAAAAGATGAATCTTCCTTCCTTCCTTCCTTTCTTCATTTTTGCATATTTTAACTTTTTTTTTTTTAAATATGGTAATCCTTTGGCGTTTCGAATGATAAATTTTATTTTTTTTTAAAAATAGTTTTACCATTAATTAATTACTTTAAAAAAACGCGATAAATAATTTTTCTTTTTCCTACTCGGCCCTGACGAAAATAAAGAAGAAGGGAGAAATGGGGGGGGGGGTGGAAAATAAAATCGAAAAAAAACTTACCTTTGAGTTGTGTATTTTCTATAGCGAACATGTTGAGAGCGAGAAGCTGTAAAAATCTGGTGCAACCCAAAGGAAGCGGCGTTTGCTGTAGTAAAGCACGAAATTCTCGAAGCATTTGCAATCCGGCATCTTGAAAAGTTTCCATACTGTAAGATGAGAAAAAAAAATAATAAAAAAATTCAAATTCGATTCATTAACTTTTTTTTTTTTTTACAAGATAAAACAATGGTTTAAACATTCGGAATAATTTAATGGGGACTTACCCGACTTTTGTGAATAATTTTCCGTGCACGTGTAAGTAACTCGTGGTAAATCTTTTGTTTATATCCGTACTTTCCAAAGCCAACAATTCTTCATCTTCGCTTTCTGCACGTCTCGAATCGGTAGATGTTGATGTCGTCCTATGAACGCGACGTCTTCCGCAGGGATGAACCCATATTTCTCTTCTAAGACTCGAACCTTCTTTTTCTTTCACTCTTTCTTTGTATTTTGCTTCTCTTTCTTCTTTTTTTTTCTTTTCGATTTGTTCATACTAAACCGAGAGAGAGAGAGAGAGAGAGAAAAAAAAAATTATCATTCCTTATTTTAATTAATTATTTATCGAATAGTTTTTGTTTATATACCTTTTTACGATTTTCATCGAACAATGATACCAAACTTTCTTTAGCTGACTGAAGAGGATTCGATGCCATTAAACTTCTCATGTAATAATAAACGGCATCTAATTTTCGTCTCTGAAAATTTCAGGTACAATGATAAAAAATAAAAAAAAATATTCTTTTATTTAAATAATAATCTTCAACTTACAGCCAAATAAGCAAGAAGTGCTAGCTGGTAATAAGGTCGGCCATTTTTAGGATTAATTTGTTGAGCTTTCGTATACCATCTGAAAAATTACGATGGCATTAATTTTTTTTTTTTTTTAATTCAAATTTTTAAATTTCGTTAAAAAAAATTTAAATTTATAGAAAACTCACTGTTTTGATTTCCCGTAATTATTACTATCATTGGCTACTTCTCGATAACGAGCCAAATCTCCCAAAAAAAGCATTATTTTTTGCGTTGATACTAATGCCAAACCTGTATAACCTAATCCTTTAATTGAGCCACCATTTACAGTCAAAAATGTTTCTACCTTAAAATTAAAATTTTCTTCCAAGTGTTGAATTAACCTTTCAAAATATTTTATACCCTGAAAAGGAATCAAAAATTTAATTAGTTTTTGGCGTTATCGAATTTTTTTTTTTTTTTTAATAAGAAGAAGACGTAAAACAATAAAAAACTTTACTTCGTCAACTATTGATAAAAGAGCATTTTTATAGCCTTCTTTATTTTCGGGATCCTCCAATATTAATTTCCGAAGCGTTTCAATTATATTATAATAAGTAATTTTCCACATGTGCTGTTCAACGTTTTCCTCTTGACAAAATTTAATTTCGGTCATGAGGAGAATTTGCAAGCTTTTTTGAAGAAATTGACGAACATAATTTATTCCCTGCCACTGAGTGAGAATGGCTGGTCCCTTGGAACACCTTAAAATGTATTGTAAATCCGTATCTGCTCTCTCAATGTCAAGAAGCAGAATTGGATTTCTATGAGTTCGAAAACTAAAAAAAAAATTTATTTTTGAATATACATTTTTTAAAAATTACTTTACACAAATTATTATTATTATTTTTGAACTTACCTATCGTTGGTATGATCGTACCAAGAAGGACGATTCGATGAAGGATCCTTATGATAAATACTAGGCACGCCATCTCCCAAAGACCCGTTTTGAAAATGGTACGGAGGATATTGTGGCAGAGTATAAAACTTTGGCGGTGGTTCCTGATATCTAGAATATTGTTTAAATCGAAATATAATAATGTAATTATAAAGCGGATTCTTTCTTTTTCTTTTTTCTAAAAACTTTACTAACCCATGATTGACTGTGTTTGTTACACGAGAATTTAATGAATTAACAATAATTGGTTTACTCGGATTGCTAGGATCAAAAAGCTGCCTTTGAGGTTGTTGAGTTGATGGCGGCTGCTGAAGTTGAATGAAACCTCTTTGAGGATATTCTGGTACAGATTGAATGCTAGGGGGCGGAACAGAAGCTTCAATATGCATTGAACTATCTTTTTTCATTTCTTCCCTCCAGTTACCTTTATCATCTTTTTCATCATCTCTAAATTTTTCTCTTTCTCTTCTCCAATCCCTATTCGATTTCTCTAAATCTCCTCTCCTCCAATCTTTATCATTTTTTTCTTGATCCCCTCCCCTTCTCCAGTCTAAAATTTCACTTTTAGGCTCTCTTTCTTTACTGGATTCCCTGCTTAAATTTTTATGGAATCCATAATGTCCCTTGTTTTGATCTCGACTGCTAGGCCTGTAAATGTTTTCGTCGCTTTGCCGTCTGTGACTTCTAAATCTTTCTTGACTATTATTTTTATAATCCCGATTCGATTCTCGACTTAAGCTTCTATCTTTTTTACCACCTCGCCTTCTCTGCTTCCTTCTATCTCTAGAAGAATGTACATTATTTAAACTTGCTACAGACGAGCTCCTTGACATGGCTTCTCTTTCTTGTCTTTCGGATTCTTCTACTTCTTCGCTCCAATCTAAAGTCCTGGGCGAAGAACATTTCGGAATGGTGGCAGATTTTATTTCCGTATAAGGTAAGGAATTATCTGAATAATGTTCAGAAATTTTTTTCACTTCTTTCGAACCTTGTTCTGTTATCGATATCGTGCTCGCGTTACTTAGTTTTCTGTAATACAAAAAAAAAAAAAAATCATATGATTAATGATACGAACTTTAAAAAATTTTTACGACTAATAATTTATTGTAGACCGACGATTTTTGACTTCTTACCTTGTTCGTTGATATTTTTCAGAATACGAATTTCTATTATATTGATTTCTTTTCGGAAGCGTTTTAGATTCTTTCCACTGATTGCCTCGCCCGTCTTGTGGTTTTCTATTATCTCTTGTGTAACGAACATTTTGTTGAGAATTGTAATCGTAATAACGATTTTCAAACGGACCCACTTGATCGTGAGAAGAAAAACTTCGAGATGGTAAGCTATTGGACGAAGGAATAGGTCTTTCGTGAGGTATATTTTCGTGAGATTGAGACGCATTTTTAAATGGAGTTGCGCAAGGTGATCTAGACGGTGATCTATAATTAGTTTGGCCGATTTTATTTTGTTCTATTAATTGAAGCTCTTTTTCAATTTCATCTTGTCTAAGTCGACCTCGGCCGCGGCCTTTCGGCGAAGGAACTTTTTGCGGCCATTGCTGGGGATTATTATAATTTTGATAATTTTGATACTCTGAGGGAGGAATATGATATTGTTGAACCGAATAATTTGAGGAAGAATTATTTAAGAATGATAAACTACCACCATCCCATTGTTCTTCGGAAGAAGTACCTATGTATGAGTTAGAAGGAAGATTCATAGATATTCCTTTTTCTTCCATATACTTTTTCTTTAGCCTCGGTGGCAAAGAATCGAATGTTGCTTGCTTTGAAATCGAGACACTTCCGCTACCCCTACGTCCGACCGGTGGTTTGGTCTGAATTTTGTCATTATTCCAATTCGAATGTTCCATACTACGAGTATCTCTCAATCGATTATTAGTAATATTATTATTATTAGTACTGTTATTATTAAAATTAGGCCTAATATTTGCAGTATGAGATATTATTCGTGGTTCTGAATTTTGCCTAAAGTCTCGTTTATCAGTCTTAACGTTGAAATTTTGTTGATTTCTTACAAATTCTGGTGAATCACTCCTACCACAATAATCAAGAGTATCACTAGACTTCCTCATTGCAGATTTATTGTTATCCCGTCTTTTATCCTCATGCCTTTTATGGCTGTAATTCCTTCTATCCTGTTTTTGCTCTCTCGAAAATCTGCCTCCTTCTACTGTCATTTGTTTTTGAACTGAACTGTTATCATATTGTCTCCTAGGATTTTCTTCTTTACAATATTGATCGTAGCTTTTTTCGTCATTATCTCTTTTTTCTCTTATGCGGCCTTTTCCTTTTGCTTTCCTTTTTTTCTTTTGATCATTACTAGCACTTTTAGAATTCTCATCCCATGTTTCTTCTTCACTTTTGATATTATTTTCTGATGACTTTTGCTTTTTTTGCTGTATTCTTCCTTCTTTCTCACTTTGCGATATGGGTTTTGGAATATATATAGCTTTTTCAGGTTTTCTAACCTTTTTCTTTTCTTCCAAAGTTCTAGGTGTTAAATCGATACCTTCATCACTACCATTTTTTACTGTAACAGGTATGTTTCTAACATCTGAGGTTTCTTCATTGTTATTTTTTGAATTATTGAGCTCTGAACGATTTAATGATTCAGTACTTAATCTATTATCAAATAATTTGTTATATGTTTTTGATTTTCCATGTACTTGATTTACTTGACAATTTTTATTAAATGATTCTACTGGACAGGGACTTGGCGATTTTGAATTTCTCCACAATTGATCATCTGCCCTTCTTAATGTCATTCCAGTCTGAGGACGATATAATTCAATTTGAGATTTTTCTCCACTTTTTCTCCCACCAATTTTATTTGAAGCAACAATGCAACTATCTTCTGAAGTTACATTTTCTAAAATTTATAAAATGCAAAACATAAAATTATTATTACATAAAAAAAAAGTTTAAAAATAATTGAATAAGAACGTGTAAAAAAAAAGTAAGTAGTAACAATCAATAAAATTAGGTAAATTGTTTTTTTTCTTCAAATTTTTTTTTTTTTTTTTTCAAAATTTTCCAATATTATTTTTATATACAATACATATATACAATTTTTTAAGGCATTGTCAAAACAATAAAGTTAGCCTTTTTAAACTGATAACTAGTATCAATATTTTGGGCAAAAATTAAGAATTACAAAATTATATGGTAAAGCAAATAATAAAAAATAGCACATTTTATATTTTACTAGAATGTGTTGTCGAATTGTTTGAAACGTAAATTATAAAACATAACGTGATAAAAAATAAGAAAGAATGTAATAAAAATTATTATTAAACAAATTTACATTTTAAGAAAAAAATAACAATTGAAATTGGGATGCTTAAGAAAACAAAAAAAGAACAAAAAACACATTTGCATGAATCAGAACTACAGTTCAAACATATTAAATGACAATTTTTAATATTTAAAAAGTCTAACTTAAATGATAACTCCTTAACTACATTAAAATACTGTTAAAATGTTTTACATTAATGGTACTGTTTACCTGGTAAAATATTTCGTGACATTCTGCGTCCTTCACTAGTTTTTTCCGCCATTACAGTTTTAAAGAAACTCTATGGTTTACAAACGTTAAAAATTAAGTCACCGCCTTTTAAAAAAAATTTCGCTATAAAACAATTTTAGTTCACGTGTTGTTTTTGTTTACACAACACAATTTTGAAACTTTTAATCATAAAGTGATATTTTAAATCATAATGTTAAAATTATTTTTTTCCCTCACTGTTATTTCGGCTTTTTTTTTATGGTATTTTCACGAATATCATACAAATAAATTTTTTGAAGTAGTTGACAAAATTCCCTATACAGCTTCCATTTTAAATAATTTACATTTCTATTGGAGCATTGCTTCTCCTATCTTATCATCAAAAATTTCTAAAACCAAAATATTTACATCTTCTGAATTACAAGAATATAACGGTGAAGAGAATAGTAAGGGATTATATTTAGCCATACTGGGAGATGTGTACGATGTTGAAAAAGGAGTAAGACATTACGGACCCGGCGGTCCCTATCATGTATTTGCTGGAAAAGATGCATCCAGGTCATTTGTGACAGGAGATTTTGCTGATGATCAGGCGCTGGATGATGTATTGGACCTATCATACAATGAATTATTAAGTATTAAGGACTGGTGTAAATTTTATAAAAAAGAATATGACTTTAAAGGAAAATTAGCTGGAAGGTTTTATGATGAAAAAGGTAGAACAACCGAATACTGGCAAAAGCTTCAAAAAAAATTAATCGAAGCTGAAAAAGTTAAGCTCAATCAAAAAGATGAAGAAACATTATTTCCTCCATGCAATGTCGAATGGAATGCTGAAACAGGAACTAAAGTTTGGTGTACAAATAAAAGGTATTATCATAATTGGAGAAAAAGTAATATGCATATTTTAATTGCATATTGATTTAATGTAACTACTTACTTATCAAACATCTTAATAAAAAAGTGCACACAAAATATGAATATTAATTAATAAGCTGCACACTAAAAAAAATGTGTTAATATTAATTTTTAAAAATGAAAGAGAAAAAAGTAGTTAGATTTTTTATTTACATAATTTATTAAAATTAACAATACTTAAAACATAAACAGTCAAAAACATTTTTAAAAAAATCAATTTAAATAAAATACTTGAAAAACAAATTTTTGTAAGATTTAAAAGTAATATTAATATACTTAGAAAAAATTAAAAGATAAAAAGAAAATAATGTTTGATACTAAATAATCATAGTAAAATAAAATTAAAAATTATTAAAAAAATTAATATTCATATAAAAATATGAATATATTACAACTTTTTAAGAAAGAAATTTTTAAAACTTACTATAATGTATGTTATTTTGATTTACATTTAAACGAAAAAAAAAAAAGAAAAAAAAAAGTAAAAGAAGCTATTAATAAAGTTTTTGCAAAAGAAAATAAAATTTAAATTTATTCTTTTTTTTTTTTTTTTTTTTACAGTGGAGGTATAGAAAGAAACTGGACAGGAGTTCCTAGAAAGTTATATGTGGTTGGATCAGAATCATACCGTTGTGCTTGTGTTGATATCGATGAAATACAAAAAGTCGAGTCCCCACAATATTCTAGAAGAGGTCATTTACAAGTTTATGAACAATGTCATCCATCACATAATTTTTGTTTTATTAAAGAATAAGCTGTTAAATATTTTTGCCTAAGAAACAAAAAAAAAAAATTATTGTTAAAATTTTTTTTATAAATGTACCTTATTTATATTATTTATATTATTATTTTTAAATTTTTAATTATTTATATGAAAGATATATTTTTATTTATTAAAATCAAATTAAATGCAATTGATTGATTTTTTTTAAACCCAAATTTCCTAAAAAGATGATTTAACTTGTTAAAATTTAATTCTTTGCTATCATTTTCCTTTTTAAAATTCCAAATAATAACAATTCAAATGCTTAACAAATGAACAATATTGAACAAACAAAACTAGTTATGCATATTATACCTTTACAAATAGTCTTAATTATTTTGAAAATAAATTACTTGCCTCATTGTAATAACTTATTAAAAAAAAAAAAAAAGTTATTTTACTAAAGTCTGTATCTACATATATACATATTTTTATAATATTATACTTTAATCGAGTAAAACTTAGTTATTTAAATTAGTCACGAGGAATAAGTATTACAGAAAACTTACATCATTTATTGTTTTTGCAAGTAATAAAACAGGTTGTGTGCCTTATTTTATTTTCTTTAAACAGTTGTAGATTCAATTTCCATACTTTGTACCTGAGTTTCATTGTTTTTATTTTCTAATTTTGACCCTAATTCAAGATTATCATTATTTAAAGAATTAATGTCTACATTGTTGTCGTTTAAAAAATGATCCAATTGTAGCATTTTGTTTTTAAATTCATCATCTGTCATTTTTAAAAGTTTAAAATTTTTTCCAAGTTTTTTAATTTTACTTTTTCTATGTTTTGTTTTTTGTTTGTTTGCTCTTCTAAATTCTCTATCTAAATAAAGAGATCTTTTAACTTTACTTTTTCCCAAAAATATCGTGTTTCCCTTTTTCCATATGGGATGCTCGTATATTGTTTCCAAATGCTTTTGTACTCTCCTAGTTTTTTTCACGAGTACGTTTTCCATTACCTCAATATTTTCTTTTAATTTATCCGTTGAGGGTTTGATTGTTTGTTGTGAGGAATCGTTATTTTTTTTAATTTCATTAAAATAAGTTTTAGATCTTGTTATTCTCGGACTGAAACTAGTAATCGTGGATATTTTTTCTTTTGTTTTACTTTCTAATAAATCTCCCTCCAATTTTCGAGAAATTTCTATTATATCCATCATAATCCAATCTAAAAATTTATTTAAATACTGATTATTTTCACTTAACCTTTCTTCTACTTATAGTTTTTATTTATCGTAATATTTTAAAAAGCCAACACGAATGTTTTTCGATAAAAAACAACATTATCATTAAAAAAAAAAAAAAATTATTTAAATATTTTCATTAAATACACATACACACACATGAGTACAACAACTTAACAAATATTTGACAAGGCAATTTATCGCGTATTTAATGGATATATTAAATAAGTTAAAGCAAATGTTTAAGCGCGTTTAATCAATTTTTTCTTGTTATATATTATTTATTTTAATTTTTAAATTAGATTAAAATTCATGAATTAAAATACTTATAAAAATACTTATTTAAGCAACCTAACTATATATTTTTTTAAAATTATTATTTTGAATTAAATTCGAAATATAAAAAAGTAAAGCTAAAAGATCAATATTTTTCTACTACATATCAGATTAAGTAATAACAATCAGTAATATTTATTAAATATTTATTTTATATTGTTATATGTAAATCGTAAACATTTTTATTGTGTTGTTAAAAATGTTCCACTTTATTAAATATATCGATTTATTATATATTTATATATCATAATTTCTTACACACGATATTAACAATAAAGTTAGTTTCGCCTATAAAATATAATTACGTTAAAATTTTATTCATTAATTACATTCAAACTTTAGTTTTGTAATTTTAAACGATTTAGAATTATATTGTTATTAAACAGCTGTGCGTTTAATGGTAGCCCACAGAAAATCAATAAAAAAATAAAAACAACTCATTTTTAGGTTTTATGAAGTCACACAACAATGCAAACGTTTGAATTATCATTGATTTATTTATGAATTAAAAAATAACTTGAAATATGGTCATAAGACGAGGAAACCTTTCATGGGTAACCAGTTTCTCATCAACCGATATTCATGTGTCTGAAGAATCATCCAGAACAACTTCAAACACTTCTGGTGAATCGAATGATAGTTGGTGTGAACGCCAATGTCCAGTTATATTAAAATCAAATCCACAAAATCAAGTAAAGTGGGTAAGGGAATGAATATAATAACATAATATTTAAATTATTTTCAAATTATCTTCATGTGAATTTGCATGTGCAAAAAAATATTAAGAGCTAATGTTTCATTTTATTGTTATTATTATTTACTTTTTAAAAATATCTTAAATTCATTTTTATTTATTTTTTATATGGGTTTATATTTAATAAAATTAAGTAAATATTTACCACTTACTTTATTAACATCGAAGCACAAAACTTGATGTTTAATTTTTAAAAAAAATATCACTTTTAAATAAGACAAATCGTTTAATTTATTTAAAATGCACCATCATTAATGAGGTTTTTTTTTTTTTTTTTTTTCTTAATTGAAATGACAAAAAATTTTATTTATCAAAATTTATGTATAAACAAATTTTTGTTTTTTTTTTTTTTTTAATCATTGGATTTTAGTTATTCGGTAATTTTTCAGAATGTGAAATACAAACGACATTGTTTTTCTTTTTCCACAAAGTTTTCAAAAATGAAATTTTTTTTTTTTTTTTGAAATATATGTATATATATTTATAATACCATATTCATATTTTATTTAGACTTAAATTTAATGATATTAATATTAAGCGTATACTATACAATTTTAAAAAAAGTATCTATAATTTTTTACAAATCACATAAATTGTAAAAATTAACATAATTTGAAATGGCAGAGACATAAAACGGTATTCCCACGTCCAAAGAAACGACAGAAAGAAAAAAAAAAAAACAAGTTTTGATTATATTTTTTCTGTCGAGTCGTAAAAACAAGTTTTTTCACCTGCTTTTTATTCAAAATATACCGACTACCCTTAATCTTAAAAAAATAAAAATGTTTCGTGTGTTTGTGCGTTTGTCGGCTTGGGTAGTTTAACAAATCGTTTAATAATTTAAAACGGGGGTGTTTTTTCCTTGCTTTCCACGACTTTTAAATTTTAATGTTATAAATTATTTATTTTATTTTAAGTTTTGGTTAAATTTTAATTTTAAAATAAAAAAGTTTTTGGTAAAATAAAATCGTTATTATTTCGTTTAGGAAAATACATTTCACATGAGGCAAATGACTCTGTCTAGCCTTTCATCATCATCTGGTCAGATGAGACAAACATTAAGTGCTCAAGCTGCTGGAACTAAACTTCGCGGACGTTGTATGACGAGTGCTAGTAAATCATTAGAATTGTTAAGACTTAATGTACAAAATGTTATTAATAAAGAAATAGACGCCGTGCTTAAAAAATATTTGGACGTAAGTAAAAAAAAAAAGTAATATAAAAAAATTTATTTTTTTCTTTCTTGCACAACGCATCGTAATTTTATTACTTTCCGTTTTTTTAGAAATTTTTTAAACCGGCAATCGAAAATATACGTAATAATTTAGGAGAAAACAGTGTAACAGAAGACAACATTCGAACGGTTTGTACGCAAATATTAGAAGATGCAAAATTGCAATATTATAATGGTATACAATCGAGAGGAAGTTCGCCCTACAGCGATTCCGAAACGGGAAGTTTAGGCGAAGTTAGATTCGATCCTGTAAATTTATTAAAATTATTTTTTTTTAAACAACTTTATTCTATTTCTCACCTTTATTAGAAT